CCCCTCGCCCCCTCTTCCCTTCCATATTTTCTGTCTGCTTGTTCCCATGTAAAGCAGTTTAGGCTTTGTATTTAGGGTGCCATATAAAAACAATTCAGTGGAGCACAGAAGGCGGAAATGATTACCAAAACCAACCTTCATCATCATAATGAGAGGTTAAAACTGTAAGACAAAAGGGCACCAACTTCAACCTAACACACTTGGGAGGCTGGTTGGAAAACTTGTTTGACAGCATCACAACTTTCTGCACAAACAAACCTCCTGACAGGGAGGCACCAGCAACTAAATCCGCATCCTGGTCATTAGGATGTGCTGTAACCAACTGCAGGTTGGCTGATGAGAATCATAACGCCCCCCCCCCCCCCCCACCCCCACCCACTCACTCCCGCCTGTCCTGCAGCCTAAAACAGAGGTGCGGTCCCAGGTAAACATTCCGCCTTCCAGATGTCTGCAGAACGCATCAGGACGGGACAAGACTAGACCTGCGACTCCTGCTTATCTCCACATGCCTCTGGCTCTGCCTATCCTACGCCCAGAGCTTCTGCAAACTGTCAGCAGAGTTAAACTGTCAAGAATAGACCAATGACATCTCCCATCCAGGTGGAAGACCGTCTTTTTAAAAGTTCATCAGGGAAATTTGACACTACTCACATTAATGTACAGCTTAATACCAAGTCAGGCTTGCTGCATCTGATCTCGCTGTGGGCAAAAACTGTCAGAGGAAAGTTGGCTTGGTTTTAATTAGCTTCTGAATTTTTCACAACCGATGACAAAGGAGCTTTAAAAGCTGTTGCTGTTTTTTTTTTCTCTTTTAGGTAAGAGTTCACCAGTTCAAGGTTTCATTTAAATTAAAATTCAATACATGTTGCAAAAAAACTTTAGCACTCAGAATACAAGCATCTGACCCATTTGATTGTTCCCTTCAAACATCTACCAAGCATTGCCACCATTTGGCCTTGCAGCTGAAGCTACAAATCGCTTTAACATACCATCTTTGTATACCAACAATTTGGGGTACATTTGGCGACAAATGAGAATGATGAGGAAAAGATGAGCAAGGAAAACAGGGTTCAGGAAGAGTTTGTGGTTAAAGAGAATTTCACACCAAACCGGAGATACAGGGTCCAACGTTTTAATAAGATCGGACTCTTATGTTCACCAGTGGATAGTTAGTGATGTTTGTATCTTGTCTGTAATGTATTGTTTTTATGTTGCAAATGGAGCTGCTTTGATGCAAGACGAATTTGTGACCATGTCTGACAATAAAGTAATATCAAATCAAACACTGTAGATTTTTTTTCCTAAATTATGCAGCTTCACCAGTGAGATATTTAAAAAGTGGTGTAAAGCTGACAACATTTAAGGCCCTTTTCCGAACATGGACTTGTTTTCAAATTCCTTTTAGACTCACCTGTTGCAGAACTTTGTCCAGGGGCTCAGCTTTGGCGACTTCGTCCAGAGTCAGTCCTGTCTCCTCTTTACATTGATCTGTCAGCTCCAAAGTGTCTGGTTTGACAAGACACCTCTGAAGCTTCCCCACCTGTGAAGGGATTTAGCATTTCATGGCGTACAAAGCAGCGGGAAATAAATGGCTATGACTAATGACAGAGTCGGCTTTATAATTCAGCAAATTAGTTCTTATTAAAAGTCAAACAAACAATTGACAATATAGTTGCAAAAAGCCAGTAATTGTCAATAAAGCGTTGTTTTTATTAACAAGCTGACATGCCAAACCAAAAACAAAAAGGTGTTTTATCTCCCTTAGTTACACTCCTCACCTGCTTGTTAAATTTTGGTCGCACACCTGTTAAGGTGAGGTGGACAGAGAGTTGATGTAGCGTTAGCTAGCACAAGAGAAAAGCAGGCTACAGAGGGTTTCAGAGAGCACACCATGGTGATTTAAATGTCACACTACTGTTCTACTACGGGTAGATACTATGCCACAAACACTGTTGCTACATAAGACACCGTACAACGAACAGGTCAGAAAGGTCCGTACCTTTTTCTCATGTAGATCCACAATTTGCCACACCAAGAGAATTATTTCCCTCTCATCCGAACCCAGTTTACCCCCATTTGCACCAGCTGTTGCCCCAAAGAACACCACCAGAGTATCACTGTGCGAAGCCATCAGGGACCACAAGGGTAAAAACTACAATTAAAGCAGAGATTAAAATAAAAATAACACGAGGGTTCACCTTTTTCCAAGTGATAAGAAGAGCGAACAAAAGGGCTGGAAACTCAATTGAGGTAAACGGTAGATAGAAAACGGAGGGAGAGATTATTTTCAGAGGAGCCACGGAAGAGTTTGCGGTCAGAGACTCTACCTGTTGAAGTACTTGAGTGTGCTCTATCCAGAGATACTGGTTTAACTGGTAAAGAAGGGTGGAAATCCGTGTTTCGTTCACACGAACTCCATAACAAGCCCTGGAGTTTTTTTTTTCCCCCTCTCCTCTCCTTTCTATTTTTTTAGTTACCTGTATGGCCCAGCCTTTGCTCGAGGATAGCCTCCGTCAATTGGCTGGTTTGGAAAGGTGAGGGCGGGAGGCAGGGGTGAGTGCTGAAATATGATTGGTCAGGACTGTTGAATCAGGAAGAAGCCTCATCTGGGAAAAGGACTTTATAGTCCATGAGGCATAGGCATACTGATATTTTCAATTGACAAAACATAGTAAATCATCATAAGACTAGGCAACAGCTAAATGCGAAAAATAAAAAAATAAAAATAAAAATAGGTATTTAACTACAAGACATGGGGTCATCTTTCAATTTGTATCCTATTTTGTATCATAGGCCTCTTTAAGGCCAGGCAGATTTTGTAATAGTCTCCAAAATTCAGTGCTACTGTAGGTTTTAAAAGAGTTCAGACAACATTGAATTAGTTAGCCTGGTAGTCACATCTCATTTGTGTTGTAATTCAATATTCTCGCCTGTCCCATCTTGAATATCTTATGAAAACATTCTGTGTTTTTTCTTAGTGTGCTTTCTCTGTCCTGGTTGGCTATAACTGGCAAATGGGTTTAATATACATTAATCTGCTAAAACGATGCATAGCTATACGTTTTCCTGGATGTTTAGCAATTATTGGAGAGATTTCCTGTAATTCAAATGTGGTTTATATTGAGTCCCATCTTCCTCTTTTAAAAAGGAAGATGGGACTGCTTAACAGAAATGAAGAAAGGAGAATAGAAAGAGAAAGACATACAGACCCATGTCACTTCAAAAGACCAAAAAAACCTAAAGTTTTCAATAACCTAACAGGTCCTTACTGGCCTGCTGAAGTTTTCACTAGTCTTTGGCCTGGTTCCCAGAATTCTGTGTTTTGTTGCTGCTGACACTCCCAGCTTTGCTCACTATGGGCCAGCAGACTGTAGTGAATGTGAGGCTTTTGTTTCTTCATCTCCTTTCACTCATTTAAATCCCCCAATGCCATGAGTAATTCTCTGTGTCGCCTTCCTTATGTGGACCCACTCTCTCTTGCTGAACCAGTCTGATCAGTTGAGGAACACGCTGGGAAACACTTCAGCTGAAATCCTAGACACATAATGATATTTCCACAAAAACAACAGTAAAGCACATTTGTCTTCAAGTTGCTCATAGCAGGCATGCTCGAACATGCTGTCTTGACTGTGGCACCAAAATGACGGGCTAAAATCTTTCAGCAGGTGCAATTGGTGAAAATGTTGTGTAATTTAGACTGCAACCTGTAAGAGCCAGCACTGTACCCAGAACATAACTGTGTCAGCGTCAGTGCTGGTATCATGTGGTGGACATCTTTGTGCAGGTCTTTTACCAAGTCAGTGGCAAAAAATTGAGTGGAAAAAACTTCTATTGCAAATAAGGGATAACCAAGACCAACTGCTTTTTGTGTTTTCAGAGTTGGCTTTAAAGATTTGTGCGTAACAAAAATTTAATTTCAGTCCCCGACCCTGTTGAAGTGCTTGGCCTTCAGTAAGATGGTAATCCTTGACCACCACTTCTTGCCTCAATGTTTTAACTTCTTCAGTTTATGGGCTTACTTGTGAAAATAACTTTTTTTTATATGCCTTTTAAATACCCTTACAGGTAAAAAAAAAAAGTCTGCAGAGTTTCAATGGCTTAAACACTAATACTCTTACTGAAGGAGAACTGAAAATCTGGATTTAACTATAAAGTAATCACTTTTTTGTGACCTCAACATGTCAGTATGTTAAATTCCAAGAGTATAGGCTTAATGTAGGCTTGTATTATTTTATAAAATTATTTCTGCGACCTTAAAAAACTACAGAACGTAAAGGTGTTGAATTAATAAGAGAGTGTGTTTACTCCTAGTGAAAGGCATGGGATTGGCTGAATGCACATTGATACACGGCTGATTGGTTTCATGTATACTTGCTGCTTCCTCATATTGTGAGAAAAGGTCTAGCATGTCTCAGTGTCCGCTGTATTTTCTTGTGTGCTCTCGTCTGACCTGTATTTCTTCGTCACGCCCTTTGCTCTCCGTAATTTTCCACAGTTTAAATAATCCTGACTCACTTATATTCGGAGGCTCCAGAGAGGTGACAAGTGCTGTCACAGTAAGTTTACTCATTCCATAGTGCGTGTCTTTCTCATACTGAGCAATCTTAATCAACACATCTTTAATGACCATGGCATAATTTGAGGCATTGGTGTCAACTATTCCAGTTGTTTTAAGTTTATTTTTAGCAAAAAAGTACATGTCTTCTTGACATGTGAAGAAATCCAGTCCACTTTAAGTCCTCTCTGAACTCTTCTTCCACTTTAACTGCTCCAGTGTAAATGCAAACTGTTCTCACATCATTTCCTGGATGGATGCATTCAGAAAAATACACAGAAGTGACACAATTTATTTTTTGACCTATTTTCAGTCTTTTGTATGATCTTTTTTTTTTGTCTTTTCTCCATTTGCCTGTTACTGTTCATTGTTCAATGGGAAATAGATATAGTGAAGTGAAATGCTCTTTTACTGATAGAAAGGCCTCTGTATTTTCAAAGTTCTGTACGTTATGTTTGTCACTATTTTTATTTGGAAAATAAAATTTTAAATTCATGACCGTATTATGAAAAACCTGAATAAATAGTTATAAATAACCATACAACAGGATCGTGATCCACACTGAGCTGATGTCAATGTCATCCAGTTGGTGAGAGGTACCATGGCAACACAAAAACTTAATATGCTATTATATGAATAAATAAAACATTTCTAGCTGGCATATACATTTAGATAAGCTGTTGTTGAACCCTCCCACTGTATAGGGCTGACTTGAGTTTTATAAGACTGTGACAAACATTGAGACACAATTCCTCTTTTTGATGCTCTGTAAAGGAAACATGCAGTTTTTCATTTTGCAATCTTTTCTCCAAGAGGAAGTAAAAGAACTGACTGTTGTCTTTGGATAACAAATCAATTGTATGCTCAATTGTCATGAAATAATTCATTTACTCTAGATCTTTATTCTTGATTTTAAAATAGATAAATAAGCACAAGGTGAATTGAATAAGAAATTTTGTCAAATTAATTCATATCAAAGAGTGGGACTGTGTCATCAATGTTATTATTTCCCAACACAGAAAGAAAAAACAAGACAAGCTGTGGGAAAATTTCTCTGTTTCAAAAGTGTTAAAAAAATAAGAAGTGGCAGAGGAAACCACAGAATAACCAGCTGTAAACTTACTGCGCCCTGACCAATCATGTTACCATACCTCCAACAGGAACATTTTTTTTAATCAGAATAACATCAACAAAATGCCAAAAAAAAGGTCTTCATAAAGAAATGTACATTTAGACAGGTTTTAAGGAATATATTTTTACCATTCATATTGAATAAATGTAAGTACAGTATATACAATATATTTTAAATATGTTTTCAGTTTTGGAAAAAAAATGTTTAGAAAAGATATTAAACAGGTTGTTTACAGCATTGGACAATTGATTCCCACTTTCTCCACTTCTCCGTTGTTATTTCAAAGAAAACAAGCTTCACAACAGGCAAAATATCCTCCTAATAAAAAACTAACTTACACACAGCTATTTTTACAGAGATAGAAAACATGAAGAATCAGGATGGGTTATTTTCACACATTTTTACTAAGATATCCATTTGGTCTTTTGTTGTAGACACACACAGGGAGCTGTTGGTCTGGTTGCTGTGCCTCTTCGACACAAAGGACAATTCTCTGTTGCCCTCACCTGGGGAGGTGCTGGAGATGTGGCGGAAGAGCTTCTGGATGCCTGTGTCTCTCAGGGAGCTTCTGAAGGAGCGAGCTGCAAACATGTACAGGATGGGGTTGACAGTGCTGCTGATGAAGACCAAGGCCCCGGCAATAAAGGTCATGGTGCCCCTGACATCCTCCAGGTAAGCTGCTTCATCAGGGAAAGACTTCCCCATAGACAGGATGATGAGTGAGAGGACATTTCCAATGTGATGAGGCGTCCAACAGACAGCAAACACCACTACCACACTGGCAATCAGGACGGTGGACTTGCGCTTAGACTTGAAGGTCATCTGAGTGATTCGGCTGCACAGGCAGGCATAGCAGACTACCAGGATTGAGAAAGGCAATATGTAGCCCACTAGCGTCTCCAGCAGCACACACACCAGCTCCTGGGCCACAGAGGTGTAAAACCGGTACAGACAGTGCGCCTCACCAGAATAATCTGCTACCACCTGTGTTGGGATGATTGGTATGCTGAACAAGGAAGCTGCAGTCCACAGAGCCAGCAGAACCTTATTCAAACCTTTTTTCCTCTTCCAGCCGGCTGAGGCAAAAGGATAACGCACAGCCACAAAGCGCTCTATACTCATGACAGTAATGAGGAAAACACTGCTGTACATACAGGCATTGATCATAAACACCATAGCTTTACACATGGCTTCTCCAAACACCCAGGAGTGAGCGAGGGAGTATATCCACACAGGCAGGGTGATGAGGACCAACAGGTCAGCAACAGCCAGATGCAGGATGAGCACCACAGTGTGGGATCGCTGCTTGACGTGTTTTAAGATGGTCCAGATCACCAGCAGGTTCCCAGGAGCTCCTACCAGGAAGGACAGGCCCAGGATCACACAAGCCACCGCTGTCCCACCTGCAAACTCCTCGGGAGCCATTTCCTCAGTAGAATTCCGCTTAAATGAGAAGTTCATGGTGTGAGTGTGTGTGTGCTGACAAGGGCGTCTGCATGAAAAGAGAAACAAACTGCTACACAAGCAACTCTTCACTTCCCTTTAAGAATAGACGGCACAGGAAAGGGGTTTCCTCACCAGGCTATTAGAGACACAGTGTGGTGATTCATGTATGCGTCATAAGATCACGAATAAGGGTATAAAAAGAAAATTGTCGTCAAAGTGATTTAAAAAACTTTTGAAAATAAGTTTGAAAAAACGAAATAATTTCTGAAAAAAAAGATAGAGAAATATTTTTCCATAAGAGACTAAAAGTCTTCTAAGTCAACTGATTGATAAACTAATAATGTACAATGTTAAATAATATTATCATTTTGTTCAAGTCAGAAAACAGACACGTTCATTTTTTTGTACAGAAAACATCACACTATAAAGAGGGTGACACATGTTTTAGTTTTTTTTAAATATAAACAATTCACCATATTTACAAGGTAGCCATTTTTATCTGACTTCATGCTCAGGGTGGGAAACTGAAATGTTGCTTTAAAGTCGAGCTGCTGTGTTGATTGGAAGTAAATAATCTCACCAAAAAAAACCTGTTTTAAACTGCTCCAAGATGAATCAGTCACAATATTATCATGTCACATTATCAAACAACGATGTTGGCTAGGAAGTGGTTACATATGAGCTAACGTCTAGAGGTATCTTGTCTAATTTGCTGTTTTACTTTAAAATATGGCTTACATCAGAAAGGATTTTCCCTATCAGCGTCTTTTCAGTTGCTCGACAGTGAGAAGATAAATGTATACCATTTTTTCTGTATACATTTATACAATTTGTAACCTGAAAATGCAAAACAAGAACTTTAAATTGGCATATAGGCCTATTCATATTATCTTACCACTCTTACTGTGATGTCAGAGGAAAATGGCCACTGTACGAATATGTCTGCCTAAATAAAGCAAAGAATTATTAAAACATTTGGTAAACACATGAACATTGCAGTCATGTGTTTGCTCTCATTTGACATCTAAAGGAAAATGGGGAACTGGGATAGTAGGGGGGAGTGAATAATTACATGGATAACTGTACATTACAGTTTTGTAGCATTGTTTTACATGTCATATAAAGGCTTTCAGTGCTGTTGATCATCTGCTCCTTCTTGATAAAGTTTAGTCCTTCAAAAAACTGCTTAATACAATTGTCACATCTCCACAACATCCCTGTGACATTGATTTTTCTCACAAAGTTGGACATCAGATCTTTCTGCTGCCATCTGGCTGCTCTGATGTTGTACTACCAGCTCCCTCATTTTGGTGGTGTGAGTGACCATTTCCTGGAACAGCCGCACCAATCGGGACTCCTCAAGACTCCCTCTCAAGCTCCTCGCAAAGAAGACGTATAACACAGGATTCACTGAGCTGCTGATGAAAACAAGGGCACCTGAGCTAAAGACAACACCTTCTGGCACACATTCATGATCTGTGCCTGGTCTTAGGATGCAGAACATATCAAAGATATTGATGACATGGTAAGGCAACCAGCAGAATATAAAGGCTATCACCACAGTGTGCACAAGACGCATGGATTTCTGTTTGGAGCTGAGGCTCATTGTCCTGAGCTGTGCCGCTACTTGACAGTAACAGATACTTAGAATGATAAAAGGGACAACAAAGCCCACAAAAGTCTCCAGACTAAACAAAACAATTGCTTGAGTAACAGAGCTGAATTCTTTGATGAAACACTCATTGGTTGCTTTGCTTTCAGGGTGGGTAAGTAAAGAAGGCAATCCTAGAATCAAAGCAAGGATCCACAAAAGTACAAGACATCTGTTCATAACACTTTTGGTCATCCAGCGCATCATTAAAAATGGATGACAGAGGGCTAAAAAGCGCTCAATGCTCATCAGGGTAATAAAGAAGATGCTGCTGAACATGCACACACTCATTACATAAACTAAGGCCTTGCAGAAAGCCTCACCAAACACCCAAGAGTTAGCCAGGGCGTAGATCCACACAGGCAGGGTGATGAGGACCAGCAGGTCAGCATTAGCCAAATGCAGGATGAGCACCACAGTGTGGGATCGCTGCTTGACGTGTCTCAAGATGGTCCAGATCACCAGCAGGTTCCCAGGAGCTCCTACCAGGAAGGACAGGCCCAGGATCACACAAGCCACTGCTGTCCCGCCTTCAAATCCATCAATGAGCATTTTCTCTGAAGAAGACTGCTCTGTTGAGAGGTTCATGGTGCAAGCGTGTGTGCTGATAGAATATAGAGTCTGCTTGAAAAAAGAAAGAAAGTGCCGCACCAGCCAGTTTTCACTTCCCTTTACATTGAAAAGGATCATAAGAGAGTCCCAGACGTGATAGGTCAGGAAAGAATGTTTATGATTTTATGTAGGCTGAAATCTGTTCTCCCTTTGTTCAAACAGTCGGTTTCATTTTGATTATTGCAACTTTAAGACAGTGGACTCATTGCTATGTTTATGCCAGTGTGATGTAATGATTAACTCTGCATCTATCACAAATGTCAAAGGTCTTTATTCTTCCTCTTTTCAAAATGACAGAGTGCGTACACCCGTAGGACTGACAAACCCCACTGCAATAGTTAACCAGCGACAGAGGATGGCGGTAATGCAGTAAAGGACACAAACCTTAAACCTTAAAAGAAATCGTAGAAGAAGAAACAGCTTCCCGTCAGCTAGCTCCCCCTGTCCGGTGAAGTAAACATGACGATGTTGACAACTACGATGTTCTCAGTGCAGTCGTATTAAAACTATTGCACCGAACACAACAACTGGCGTTATAAATTATTGTCGACAAGGTTTGTGACGAACTGTAAGTAATGATTTATTATGAATCGAGGAGTAGTGCTTGCTATCTGTGCTAGCTACGTAGCTTAAGCTAGTGTTGGGTTACCTAACGTTAGCCAGGTGTACAGCTAATGTCAGGGGCGTTGACTGCTGTTAGCACTACTCGGGTTTTAACATGGCTACAGCCCCACTGTATTCAATGTTTTTTGTTAACTTCTGCTCTCACAGGTTGTTGGATTTCATCAAGCTGAGAATTGAACCATAAGAAACGGAAATGCCTCTGCTGTTCCTGGAGAGGTTTCCGTGGCCCAGCCTGCAGACCTACACGGCACTGAGTGTGGCTTTGCTTGCTGGCAGTATCTTCAGTGCCTACACCACTGTGACAGACCCGGGCTTTGGTGCCTTGGAGGCCGAGGAAACACCAGCTCCCACTGATGTGGACTTGGACCATCTTGACAGTGGGATCAGCAGCACAGAACTGGCCACCACTGTACTGTGGTATCTTGTCACTGACAGTCTCTTCGTGTGGGTAAGTGTCATCCTCTTAAGGACTTTGTAATGCCCAATAAGATGTTGTCCTTTCAGAGACCAAGTGTCACTTTATTCTCTATACCCCTCTAGGTGTTAGTCAACACTTTCTGTTGCTCTCTGATGCTTATAGCTAAGATGATTCAATACGTGGTCTTTGGCCCACTTAGAGTCAGTGAGAAGCAGGTGAGTCTGTTTACTCCTCTTGAAATTGTTTTATTATGTCTCAAAGTTATTTACCTTCATTGTTCAACTTACGTTCCTTTTGTTTTTGGTCCCCCAGCATTTGAAGGACAAGTTCTGGAACTTCATCTTTTACAAGTTCATTTTCATCTTTGGAGTATTGAACGTGCAGACAGTGGAGGAGGTGGTCATGTGGTGTTTGTGGTTCTCTGCTCTGGTCTTTCTCCACCTTATGGTGCAGCTCTGCAAAGACCGATTTGAATATGTAAGTATAAAAGTAAAACTAAAAGTTCACTTTTTATATTCTCCTAAAGGGCCGTAAAAGCGTACATCTAAGACTTGCTTGTGTGGAGACGTGTGGCAGTCCAATAATCCTCAATGAATCTGCTTCTGTTCCTATAAAACTCTCATCATTTATTTTCCAATGTAAGTCCACTTAAAATAGTTTCAACAAAGTTAGGGACATTATACCTGATATGATTGGCTAGACACTGAATGTAAAGATATATATTTTTTTTTTTATCGTAAAGCTGTTTCTGGTGAAACTGAAGCATTATAGAGATGATATTGTTTCTATGTTTTGTTATGATATTGTATGGTTAATGATAGATAGGATTTATTACCTGGTCCTACGTATGATGCTCTTGAAACATGATAGAACTACACCTGCATTGTTTGTGGCTGCCATGTTTCTCATCAGTGCCTCGAATAATCAAGCGCTATCAAAAAAAAAGCTGATATTTGAAGACATCCAATGAATGAGCTTTTAAACTTATGATGAGTGAGTGTCTGACAGCAACTGCACTCTATTTAGTTCTGGTCCTATTAATAGTTCCTTGTATTGGCTTGTTAGGCCACTGATACAGTTTCAGTCACAACATTGACATGACCCTGTATCAGTGCCCTGCGTGTTGGGGTAAACAAAATATCATATTTAAACAGCTCCATGCAAGCAATGAAATTTAAAACAAGCATTAAATTGATATGTTGCCCTTGTTGTAATGCAGACTTGCTTAGTGTACTAAAGGTTATTAGTGCTAACAGTGGTGTCTGTGAATGTCCTGAGCTTCAAGGAGCTCTGTGTTTGTGGAACTGTGTGATAGTCTCTCAGCATTGACTGTCAATCTACATTTTGAAATTTCCTTTTGAGTCTGTCAGTTGGGTTTAGACCATCTGTCTTCCTTCCTGTCTCCCTTTTTAGTCGGGTTCTAGCTTTGAGGTTTACAATCATGTAGGTCAAACTGCTAAAGAGGAAACGAAATGTAGGTTAAAATACTGTTGTCAGTGTGCTGGGGAAAAAAAAAGTTTGGTTTTTACAGAATCCATTAGTTGCTTCTATGTTGGTATTGATATCGTCATTCATATAACTTACACTGTTGTGTGAACTTGTGTGTTTGCTACAGAAAAAAACCTTTATATTCTTTTAAAAAAACGAGTATTCCTTGTGTGAGTAATTCTTTAAAGTGTCAGAGTAATATGTTCTACTTGAGCATTTAACCGGAACACACGCTCTTGGTCAAAAGTAACACATCTAAAATGAGAGAGGTGCAGTCCACTGAAGATGTGCATTTTGTTTCCCACAGCTGTCTTTCTCGCCCTCCACTCCCATAAACAGTCATGTGCGAGTACTTTGTCTGCTGGTCTCCCTACTGCTGGACTGCTGTGGCTTGGCCGTGGTCTGCGGTCTGCTGGGAGCTTCCCATGGCATGCACACCCTCTCGTTTATGGCAGCAGAGGTGAGAACCTTAAGCCACAGCTGTATAAAAAAAAAAATGGGAGCCTTCTGTGTGGGTGAAGGCATTTTGTATTTTAGGTAGGGCAGGGTCAGTAATGAGTTTTACATTTTTTATTGATTCCCATTTTCTTTTTGCTATTTACAAGCTTCAGTGTTTAGCCAGCTCTGCATAGGTCTTGAAACGTTTCTGCGTTCTAACCTCTCTTCATTTTTCTAAAGCATCTTCAATATTAATCATAATTTTTTGACCTTGTTTCTGGTTGTGAAGCTTATTAGAAGAATGCAGAGACTTTTTAGGTCGGGTAGAATCAGTGCCTACTGGCTCTTGGGCATTGACCACTTGGGGACTGGAAACATCTCTAATATATTTATTCACAGTCAAGCTTTTTCTGCTAAGAAAACAAGGGCATGTTTATACTTGATATTTAGGATTACATTCATAAAAAGGGGAGGTTTTGGCTATTAGTCATGTAACTGTTCTTTGTACCAGTTATATCACAGAAGATACATTTTTAATTTTGTTCAGACATCTGCTTAAATAACTACTTTTTTTTTCTCTATGTTGGGTTGTTTTCATAATACACGAGAATAACATTGTTTTCCCCCTGTATACTTTCTTCTTCAGTGTCTGCTGGTGACAGTACGCACAGGGCATGTCATCATGCGGTAAGTCTCTTTAAAGCTTCACATGCACAATCAGCAGAAGTCTGGATGGCACAGCTAGCTCAGATTTAGATTCAGGGGCTTAAGTAACATTAACATCAGTGTGAAAGGCTTCTGTGTTCCAAAGAGGATGGTTATAAATACACAGGCAGTAGGAACAACTTTGATCAGATACAGAAGCTTAAGTCGTGTTAACTGTTGTCAGAAAAAGCTCTGGGGCTGGACAGCAAAATGTTGTTAAGAAAAAAAATTGCTCCCGTGTTGTCACCAGGGATTTCTTTTAACCCGTGTTACTTACCACTGGTTTTCTTCTATTTTTGAAGCTTTTTGGCCTAATGCTTCCCACATAGTGAACTCTTTTCTCATTATGTAGCTAGTCCACAGATTCATCCATGAAATAGCCACACCATCAGCAACACCTGACATGTGTTTCCTGGGCCTGTCATAGTCTGAATGAGCTGCTACTGCATGTCCCCTCACAGATACTCCATTCATTTGTGGGATCTCAACCATCCAGGGACCTGGGAGAGTAAGGGCACATATGTCTACTACACAGACTTCATTATGGAGCTGGCGATGCTCTTCCTGGACCTCATGCACCATATCCATATGCTGGTAAGACACATGGGGGACAGGAGTTGGATATCTGATTATTCTGTGTATTTGTTCTCTCTCCTAATCTCTCAACTTCACCCTTCATTTTTCTCTCATTAGCTTTTTGGAAACATCTGGCTGTCCATGGCGAGCCTGGTTATCTTCATGCAGTTGCGATATCTCTTCCATGAGGTCCAGCGTCGCGTACGCAGGCACAAGAACTACCTACGCGTTATCAACAACATGGAGGCCAGGTGTTACAATATTTTGATCAAAATGTTTACCTCGTGTTTTTGTTGCACGGTTTGTCTTTTGAAGCTTGTCTTTTCTGTTATTAAATGACTGAACTTTATTTGTGCAGATTTGCCGTTGCTACAGCCGAAGAGCTTGCAGCTAATGATGATGATTGTGCCATCTGCTGGGATACTATGTTGACAGCACGCAAACTACCCTGTGGCCATCTTTTCCACAAGTAAGGTGTTTTCTAAATCAGCCGGAGTATTTTCCATACAATGAGTCAATTAAGTAAACCATAACCTTAAGTACCATAAACAGGGTATTTTACTTGCAGAATCTAGCTGGCTCAACTGCAAGAATTGCTTGCTAAATATATCTCTACAGTAAAGTTGACAACAGAAGAGTTGACTTGATTTATTTATTTGACAAAGTTTTGCGGTCTGCTGAATACCCCTTTATCAGTGAGATTGACCTGAAGTCCAGATACTACAGACTTGTTCTGAGCTCTACCATAACGGTTGAGATAGATAAGATATAACTTGTGCCTCTCTGTAATTCCAGCTCATGTTTGCGCTCTTGGCTGGAGCAGGACACATCATGTCCAACATGTAGGAAATCACTGAACATTAATGGGGACGGGGGCCAGGCCAGAGGCCAGCAACAGGGCGGGGAAGACAATATTGGCCCAGCAGGAGCTGCTGCAGATGCTAGACCACATATCAACCAACACAATCACTTCTTCCACTTTGATGGTGAGTCTAAACGAAAAGACATGTGGTTACATCAGATCCTATTGATGTGAGAGCAAATTATATAATCCATACAATCCCTTACAGGATCCCGCATTGCAAGCTGGTTGCCCAGTTTCTCAGTGGAAGTAATGCACACCACCAACATCTTGGGAATGGCACAGGCCAACAACTCTCAGCTCATGGCCATGGTGAGTCCGTGTTTGCCCTGGTGTTGACTCCATGAAAAAAGTGACACCGTTATAGCTATTTTAAGGACACTTGCTGACAGTTTCTTTTTTACTTGATTTGCATAAAATCAATGTTTCCATCATCACTTTACCTTAATATTTACTCCTAATATTCTTGAGTAGCTGCTCCTTGGTTGTCTATGATGCCAAGATGTTCTTCATGTCCTTACTTTGCTCTAGGGGTGTTAGAAAATACTGACCTTGTAGTTGTCAGGTTGTATCTGTTATAATAAACCGAATTGGGAAAACTGATAATCCCTTTGCTCAGACTGCATAAAAAGTATGACTATGACTTTGTCTTTGCAGGAATGACATGAATACAATTTTAGATCCTTCAGTTCTGATTTTATGTGTGTACCAGATTATTGACAAAACACAGCTCTCAAATAGTTTTTGAGTACTAGGTTAATGCTTGTCAATACAATGATAAATGTTTTATTTAACCAACAGAAACTCTGTAATACTCGAGAAGATGCAAAGCATATTTTAACACCCACAGATAGGCCTCTAGTTTTGTGCCTAAATAAGTTATCTTTTGCTCTCTTTGCATTTGATGCACCTCCTTGTCATCAGGCCCATCAGATCCAGGAGATGTTCCCCCAGGTGCCCTCCTACCTAGTAATGCAAGACCTGCAGCTGACCCGCTCAGTTGAGGTCACCACTGACAACATTCTGGAGGGACGCATCCAGGTGCCTTTCCCCACACAGGTATGCACATAAGTCAACGTGGGGGGTTGTTGGCATGTTTTTCTAAATTATTTTATTGAGACATCTGTAAGAATGACCTTGTTTAAACTGTTCTGCAATAGCCGTTTTCCAAGTCAGTTCTTCTTTTATCTTTTTATGTCGTTTACATTCCTATGGCTTTTCTTGAAGTTAAAAGCAAAATTCTTGTCACATATTTAGTCTGTGTTCCTCTCTCAGGCTATAGAGCGTGGCCCCATACAGGTGGGCTCTGCATCAGATGAGCAGGAAGGGCCCAGTGGAACAGACGAGCAGGGCTTCAGTGAGCCAGACAACATGGAGGTCAGAGGAGGTCGCTTCTCTAAGTCGGCAGAGGAGAGACAGAAAATGTTAAAGCAGAGAAAAGAAGAGCTGCTTCTGCAAGCTCGCAGGTTTGTACACTACTTGTTCTCCACCTATGGCAGGCATGTAAAATTGTGTTAATGGTGAGAAGTTGATAAAAATGTATGCATGTGTGTATTTTAGGTCTTAATAAATTTGGCATCACAGCTCATCTTTGTTTGCATAAAATAGACCTTTCCACAGAGATCAGTCTTTGAACAAAGGCTGAGCAAATATAATGTTTAAAGGTCTTCTTTGCTCAGCTGTCAGACCAGTTTAAAGGTTGATTCATACTTGACTAACAAGTCGTCAGTACATATGATCCCTTTTGCTAGAGGTTTTTGGTTGCCTGTTTATTCCCATTATCTTGCTTTTTCTGTATGCATGATGATTTATTGTTTATTACTTTGTGTAGGATATATCTCAACAAGAGTCCAGAGGACCAGGATGATGATTTGCCTGGACTGGAGGAGGACATTATTCCTGGATTGGACTTGACTATGCTGAGACGTAGAACCATGGCAGCAGCTGCAGAGAGACGCATGCAAAATCAACAAGACCCAGCACCCTGAGACACAGCTGGGCTTCAGCAGAGGAGTCATCATCCCAAGAGGCACCAATAGAGCTATTTGCCCAACCCCCTTGGTCCATTTCGTGTACAGTCAGTGGTCATCAACTCAAAAAAATATATTAAAAAGCATAACAAACATGGCCTTTGGACTGTTTTGGGCTACTGTGAATGGTAATGGAGTATTTGGAGTGTCCACATTTTTTTTGCGTGCAAGTCAATAAATGCAAGGTTATGTTACCCTTTATTCATGTGCCACACATTACAACCACCAGCTTCAGTGGGGAATCAGTATCTGCCATAGTTGAAACTGTTTTTTTAAAATAAGCATGCTTTCCACTCAGAAGAGTCTTTGTATGAGATGTCTTCAAAGGTTTCATCACTAGCTGAAGTTTTTTGGGTCTTTTTTTTTTTGTTTTTTATCAAAACTTGTTTTCATTTGCTGTTTTGCTCATTATGGAAAGCTACATTATGTCAGATGATGAAGCTCATCTGATCTGTATCTGTGTTATTATTTTACACGTTTTCAACTGTGAATTAAGTGTAAGCAAAATAACAGTTTGTTTTTGTTTCTTACTTTGAAGTAAGAGAATGTCACTTTAGTATTGTTCAGCCTTTCTGTCAAATATGAATGTTTCTATCAAAGTTATGCTGCAAACAAAAGTGTTTTGGCCCACATGGGTTTTTCCTGTATTTAGTGTGTAATATCATCCATTGCGTTTTGTTTGTCAACAAGAGGAGGAGTGGGCATGTCAGACTTTGTTTTTCTTACATTGCCCTCTTGAGAGGCATAGGCATCAAGAGGGATGTATTACATTTTGAATGAGTACAAGAGGTGTCCTCCTCTCAGTCTTTCTTAATCTACCATGTTTTACTTAACGTTTTAGTCTGAATAAGAGTATTATTTCCCTCTAAATAATTTAGTATAACAATGAACTCCCTGGTCTTATGGCCTGAATGACTGAGAGCCTTTATAATGATGTGTTGAGAGTGTTTGATATGTGCGCCTTTGTCTACTCACACTGAGGACTTCTAATTCAAAATCACAGCGAAAATAATCATCCTTTGTTCTAAGATCTTAATTTAATAATTTACAGCAATGCACAACATGAACTAGGCCCTTGAAACATTTTTGGTAATGTCAAATTCTCCTGAATCCCTATCTGATGGAGACATATTTACGGACACCACAAATGGAGTTTGGATTGTTTAATTTCTTATTTCAGTATAAGGGCAGTTCGGGTGAGATTTGCATGAATCTAGACAATTGATTTTGCTTCCTTCCACTTTATCCCAAAGAGCAGCACACAACCCTTCCACTCAAAGCTGAAGTGTTGTGATCTTATTTTGGTTTGTTTTCTGTTGCTCAAACTCTGTTTGGGGGGTTTGGAAAGGATATATAGGATTTATTTTCAGATTTCGCTTTGTCATAGTGCAAAAAAGAAACTGGACAATTTGTTTTCTTTTTCTTTTTTTCCAACCGCTATTTAAAAGTTACCACAAATTACTTTGTTATTCATGGGGTATCTTTCATAAGCATTACTTATTTAATAATTTTGACTAAGCTTTCTTGTATTTTGTGCCTAAATCAAGAATGGTTCAGTTATGGATAATTTCTGTAAATCTAGATTTTGTAAGATATGTTAATACAAAGGACTCAATAAACAGAGCTTTTAAAGCTTTTTAACAAAAACTGTTATTTCATATTTCTTCTAGGGGGCCTATCTCTCTTTTTTACCGACTTTTTCTCCGAGCAAACAGAGATTTCTGTAGATCTAGGGACCAGAGCTGTGTGTGTGTGTGTGTGTGTGTGTGTGTGTGTGTGTGTGTGTGTGTGTGTGTGTGTGTCCTGGACTGTCAAAGGCATAGACTGAAAGGTAAGTCGATGTATGCAGCTGCAGTATTAAAACCGACATTTATTTAACAAGATAATCAATGTGTTAGTCTGATTAGAGTCATACATAGCCTCAAAATAATATTAAATTGTATTTTTGTGAATTGAATTTATTTATTTAATAGGGACAATGCAATTTAACATAATTTCAATACAAAGCATGAAACTGATGTGCTGCATAAAGAGTATATAGCTATTGCTAATTTCCAACTCGTGTCCCCAGTTGGGCCTTTGTGTACTAAATAGGGATGTAAAATATAACGACGTATTGACGTCATTTGGTTGCGCCCCTCACCTCCAGCGTCTCTGCCACGTCACACAGGAGGACACATGCCAGGCGGAAACACCCACGCTGTTGAGTTTAATGATGAAGCCCAACCTCATTCAAAAGTAGAAGAATTTCTCAGTTGTCATTATACGAAACCTCAGTCTGGGACTCGTTCACTTGTTCTTGTTCGTTTCTTCTTTTGGTAAGTATTTAAAGGCATATGTCTGTTACCTAGCCGGCTAGCTGCTTAGCATGTCAGGCAACCCAGAAGTAGGTGAAACAAAGATTTAATGTGACTTTTGAGTTTAATTACGACACCACTGGGGCTGGATCTTTTGCTTTGGTGAGCTGTCACAGTATTAATGGTTTGCTGCTAACGCTAAACGTTACCTTTCTGACATATTGTGGTCTGTGTTTAATTATGTGGTCAAATGTAACACTGTCCTCTACAAGGAAATAATCTTAATCTTAACAAGCCCTTTAAACAGCCTCATAAAGACTGTACGGTCGGGAAAAGATGACATCACTGTAGTGTAATTACGCTTCGCTGCCATGGTAACCAGATTTAAGACCCGTCTAAAACTTGTGCCTATAGGTCTGTATACAAGAACAAGTGTTGATAAAGCTCTTAAAGTCATCAGCAGCTTCACTAATGATGTTACCTGTTGACCTATCCAGGACTCTTCTCATATTACATATCCTGGAACAAATCCTGAAAAGGAAATCATGAGTGAAGAACAAGATAGAATGGTGTCAGATTATTTTAAAACCTAAAAATCAAAAGGTGAACATTGTAATAAAATTGTTTTAAAATCAAGTGTCCTGTTAAGTATTGGCTGTTGTTAAGCAAGTGAAACTGTATTTGTCAGGTCAAAGTTCTGCGCTAGAACAAACATAATGCCAATCCAGCTTGACTCTGTGACCATGTTAACCACCATTTATGCTTAAACTGTATCTTAGATGGAGAGAAAAGCTTTTAAATTAAATGTGGAAAATTTCCTTACGCACACTTTTGGGTGTGTATGTCATTGGACTTACCTGTTTGTATGTGTGGACTTACCTGATTGTTTCGTACGCAGAGATTGAGGAATGCTGCTGGACGAGACTCCTCTCTTTGAGCCCTCCCTGCTTCAGGAGCTAGACTGGAGTAGTAACATGGTCTCATTCTCACCCCCACTCTCCCCGTCCAGCCCTGGAGAAGGCCTGGTGCTCAGGCCGCTCTGTACAGCAGACTTTAACAGGGGTAAGTCAGAGATGGAAGGAATAATACCTTCATGTTTTGGTACTCTCAGGATCAGAATCTGATGAACACATAGATAGCGCTGAAGTCAAAGTCATAGTGTTTGTCTTTGACAAAAAACAAATACATAAATATATTGAAAACAGATAGAAACTACTGATATGAAAAGATATGGAGTCTAACTTCTTGGCATTTCGCCGTTTTTTTTTTTGGTCTGTGTTTCAGGATTCTTCAAAGTTTTATCTCAACTAACTCATGCAGGTGACGTCACACCTGAGCAGTTCACGAGTAAGTCATGCTTAGCATTATGCTGCCCCTATAAGTGGGATTTTTGATTATATAGTGCAGAACTCTCATCAATATTACAATTTGTATTTTAAATGCTTAAGTGTTTTAACTTCTCAGATCCCATATTTAAGAGAAAGAACCCTCCTTCTAGAAATCACTTAAATTACAAACCTTTGTAAATAGTTATATTTATATGGTGTCTGTCTTCTTCCAGAAAAGTTTGAGCACATGAAGGCAACAGGAGACTATTACGTTGTGGTGGTGGAGGACACAAATCTGGGACAGATTGTTGCCACAGCCACATTGATCACGGAACACAAATTCATCCACTCCTGTGCAAAGGTAAACTCCAACTCTGCGAGCAGTTTGTGCATATTTCACAATGAAAACAACAGAAAGAACTGTACATGTCAACGAAAAACTGATGCCATAAATGTTACTTATTAATGTGGTGATTATTAGAACAGCAGTAATAAATAGTTAACCACCATAAACCAAAGGAGGTCACATTCACAATTGCATGGTTACAATACATTTTTTATTGACCGGGAAAATGCTCAAAAATCAAGTGTGAATTGAAGCGCCCTCTTCTGTGTTTGGTTTGTAGAGAGGCCGGGTGGAGGAAGTCGTTGTCAGTGACGTGTGCAGAGGGAAGCAGCTCGGCAAACTGTAAGTAGACCTGCTGGAGTCTGACACTAAAACGTTTTGTTCTGCCCTTTTTTAAAAATATTCAACACCTTTTATTGGTCTCAATGAAAATGATAAGTGCAACAGAATTAGATGGACATTCTTTGTATACTTTTTTCAACTCTTTTTTTCTGTCCCTTTTTATAGGTTAGTTTCAACCCTGACTCTTCTCAGCAAAAAACTGAATTGTTATAAAATCACTCTGGAATGCGCAACCAAAAATGTAACCTTCTACCAAAAGTTTGGCTACACTGCCTCAGATGAGACTTACATGCAGTGTCGATTTTCCGACTGAGGACAACAGGACCTTTGAACCTTCACTTTGGGGTCATGGAGTCTAAGTTTACACACCCAGTGACATCAGAAGTTGCATTTCCAAATTTGTCTTTAGACTTGGCAGAGCTGCGAGGATGAGCATTTCAGCATACTTGAGTAAACATAAATGACAACCTAATTCTACATCATCTTACACCCCTTTGGTAACCATGGCTACCTCAGCAGGGTGGAGCTCTGGCATCATCTCTCTCTCCCCCCCCACCATCTGAAGAAAGGAAGTTACTGTGACTGTAATGTTTTACTGTGTTTCATTATAAATATGAATCATATCTGCAACTGCCATGCAACTAACTCTAGGTGAATACTTTTGCTTTGGGAATGAATGGTAGCAAATGAAATTATGTTTCCAAAGCTTATAGTCATTTAATAATCCACTACAAGACCACAGCTTCTCATGTTCACCAGAAAAACCAAGAATGCTTGAAGTAATAACTAATGAGCAAGACTGAAGCTTTGTCTCATTAGTCACCAAGAACACTTAACCAAAGAAAAGCGGCCTCTTCCTTTACTGTGTTGTTACTTTTCTAACGGGTTTTACATGTTTTATCTTTTTTCTTATTTGTCTGCTTTGGGAAAAGTGACCTTTCTGTGAAAGTGGTATGGCTGGACTACAATAAGACATAAAGTAGAACTATCTAGAAGTCTGTTGATAATGTAGAACACTTCTAGTGATCAGAAAGCTTCCATATGCTGATGCAGGGGTAAAGACATTATACAGGTTTTATATATGATCGATATTTTTAAATGATCACAAACATGACATGGATCAAAACGTGTTGGGTGGCAGATTAAAAAAAATGTTTTTTTTTGTATAAAGATGCTTATAATGCTTATGTATTTGGAGATTAGGGTAAAAATATTTAATGTAATTTATTTCCAAGTTGTTTAATTGACAAAATATTCTATGATCTACGACATGTGCATTTATATTTCTACTTGTCAAATATATCAAATGTGTTCAGCTTTGATTGTAAAAAGTGGATCAATAGTTCTGCAGACACTGTTCATGATATTTTAAAGTTACTTTGAATTTAAACGATTTTACATTGCTCTTTTTACTGCCCCAAATGTTTCGAAAGTCTTAACAGATTTCAGCCCTCGATGTACTCACATGGTCCCTTACATCACCACACAATATGTTAACATGTACAGTAAGATCTCCATTTAGAGTTACAGAAAAATTAAAGAACAAGAACCTGTAGTATAATCTATATTTACTACATGTGACTGCTAGTTGCAAATTTAAAATGTAACATTTTGTAAAGAATGTCAAGTTGTGAAGCAATTATAGAATATAAAAACACAGCACAATACGGAGTCAGACTTCTTTTTTAATAAGCAGTGAGTTATTTTCCATTCCTTAGTATCCCACATTGAGTCTGATATTAGTCTTTTTTCCTATTACTCCCATGTTAAAGGCATTAGCTAGTCTTCTCTCATGTCCTCCACTGGGCGACGTCCTGGCTACTTTTCCTTTGTCGACTGCCCCATTCTGGTCGTCTACACAAATTCAAGTATTGAAAGTGCATTATTGCAATACTGTCCCGCTGCAAATGCAAAAATGCTTTAAATACTATAAAACTGCAAAAAATCTCCCATCAGTGCATACAGCTTGAGAAAAGAAATTATCAAATATTCCCAATCCCCATCACCACTGCATGTCTCAGACACGAGTGGTCCCGCTCCCTCCCTCGTCCCTTCCCCTTAGAAAAAGTTCAAATATGTACATTTTTAATCCCATTAAAAATGTAAAAAAAAAAAAAAGAGAATAAAGTATTGAGTGCACTGCGCTGCCACACGGCAAAGTATCCGCAAAGCTCATCCGTTCTGCGCTGCTGTGACCTGCATTGCTCCAAAGTCATCATCTTCCTCCAGGCTGCGTTTACGGCTCCCTGTTAGATAAACACAGCAAAGAATAACTTAAGACATGCAGCTTACAAATACAACAAGAAAACTAGATGAAAGCTCACGAACTAGACCCTGAACACTTCATGATCTGTATCGAAACAACATGATGTGAGACCGACTACAGCTGATCTTTAGATCTCCAAAATTTTGAATACAACGTTGAGTTTTTTTTAAATAGAAACATTCATGTTGGTGAGAAAAAAAAAAAAATCAGGTTATGAAATCCTCCATGGTCCACACAATGTAATTTGCTTTCATTTGAATTTGAAAGAGCCAAAGCTTCAACACACATGTTTTCTCCTGTCCTACTGAGAGGAAGAAAAGACTGAGGAAACAAACATCTACAACTAACTTAACGAGTGCATCATGTACAAACCTGGCATCCCAGCTTGTATGGAGAAGGACCTGCCTAACTGCATGGGTGACATCATTTTTATGGTCAATTTGGCTAAGTAGATCGCTTCATATTCCTAGGAAAACGAACACACATTAGATTAAAGGAGGTTAGCTTCTTATTCATTTAGACCATGTTATTTGTATTGGGACAAATATGAAGCAAGTCAATGCTAAGCTAATGATCAATGCCCGATCCTGCATGGTTCTTTAAAAAACAGGAAAAACAAAACAAAGAATTCCTGAGATCAAACCTACATTCCACATAATAATACATGCAAAACAGAAGAAAGACCACAAACTAAACCCGACCCTGGAAACTGGCATGACTAACAGGAATATTTCAGTTTGATTTCATTAGGATTAGAGTTTACACTGACACTGTGAGCAGGGTGCAGTTTTACACTCACACAGCTTTAATATGTAACATTTATCTAACAATAAATATTAACTACTGGAGTTTGTCTCTTGCTTGTCTGAATTCACAAATCCAAAAGAGCCAACTCATCCTTCTATTGAAAGAAGGACTGTGAAATCAATCCCCATTTGATAACTAAAGTCTGAATGGCAATAAAGAAGAGAAATGATGTCATTTAAACTAACAATACTTTCTCACTCACGTGTACACCTGACACTCTGGATGGCTTTCATGCAGTCAGAGGAAGCTCAAGATAGCTATTAGCAGCCCTCAGACTATTTGTTTCCAATTAAGTGGTGGAAAAAAAAACTGCTATCTATTTTGGATGCAGGAGACATGTGACGAACACCCATAGTGTCTAAAACATGAAGAAGAGCAGATAGACATAAAAGCTGAGATACAGCTCATTAGCACTCTTGGATATTTATTAATTTATCACACTTTATATTGTTATCACACATTTTTCTCAGATTGTGCAGGCCTACTCGACAGCCAGATGTCAGATTTACTCTTTGCCTGCAACATAAAACAAGGCTTGACTCAAAGGAGACTGTAGAGACTAAAGATTGGAACATAACATCTGCAGCATCACACCAGAAGTGGATCACTCGTAAGAGAAAAGGTCACTGGAATAAGCCTGATAAGATCTACAGCCATATTATTCACATCCACTCTTATTTTCCTTTACTTTTCAAAAGGAATGCTGCTGTAAGTACTCAGTCATATGTGCTCTGACATGTTAATGTCAATGAGCTCGGGACATCATATTTTCTCTAATCACAAGTTAGAACTGGATGGATTTATGGATTATATACGTTAGTTATTTTCTCTTTTGATTAATGTCATTTGTATTATGATTAATGTCATCTGTATTATGATTAATGTCATTTGTATATGTCTTCAAGTGAAAGTTACCTGTAGCTGATGCACAAAGCCCACATTGGGGTTAATGCAGAACCTCCTCTCTTGAACGTGGCTGAATGCATCCCTAAAGAGTGAACATACGATTTTACAACCAGAGCCTCAGAAACATCGAGTTAAAACACTGCAAACAGCAGCAGTGATGACAAGCTGTCAATGTAGCAAGCACCTCTATATGTGATATACTTCATATTATACTCCGGTATGTTTTTATAGGATTATATAAACTATTTATTTTCACTTCTACCAGGTGGAGAAACTTAATGTGAGGGAACAAAAAAAATCTTACCTGTATTTCATCCCAAATGTTTCCATTAGGTATGCAATCACTAAGGCGGCACTGAAAGAGTGAATCAAAAGAGACAGTTTGGGTTTCACAAATATTATTTTGGTTCTCTGCTGATCCAAACTCAGAGTCAAAGAGAATTTAAGACTTCAAGAATAAAATTGGCAGACGTGAAGCCAGTGGATTAGATACAGTGCATGAACAAGTTTATTTATATGAAATGGTATGATACAAAACAAAAACAACGCACCTTCTTGATATCCCTGCATTACCATGAACCAGTACCTTTCCTTAAAACACAGAGAAAAGTTCAGTGATAAGAATGTTTTTTTCCTACTTGACTTTGTGATTAGAAACATAGAAAGTGCATCCCTCCTTACCTCCTGTTGCTAAGCAGCTATCAATAAATTCTTTAGTCTGTTAGGGTAAATAAGAAACAGAACATAAGGCGTAATGTAAATTTAATTGAAGGACAAAAAGAGCAGATTTTTCAAACTTACTGAAGGGAAAAATCTTATTATATTTTCCACTGGATTGTCAGCAATATCTAACACAAGGTATCTGAAACAACAACATTTAGAACATGGGTCAGCATTTCAAAGTCAACATTTCAGACGACAAATACAGGCCGCTGCTCACGTTAAAGAAGAAGCCTTTACTTACCTAAATGAATGAGGGAAATTAGGTTTGATAAAATTGGCTTCAATATCTTGGCGGACACAAACTATATGTGTTATGCCCTGTCTCTCAAGAATTGGCAGCTACACAAAAGAGGGGAAAAAAAAGCAGGGCAAGTTTATTTGCATCGCACGTTTTAACAACAAGGCAATTCAAAGTGCTTCACACAAGACCACAAAGAGGAAACGAGGAAATAGGTTTAAAAATCATTCAAATAAACCATTAACAATCACAAAGAAGATCAAAAAGGAAATGTCTTTGAATATAAGATCCAAAAGAAATAAGGAATAACAACATGGAAATTATACAAAATATATAAATAACCTCAAATTTGTAACATGAGCTTTTGAGCCGAGAGTATATCATGTATTTATTTTTGCTGTGTCACTGTCTTCAGGCTCCACTGGTAAAAAAAAAAAAAACAGTAAACACATTACCTTGCTTTTCATTGCAGCAGAGTAAGGACCTAAAAAGAGCCCTGGCAAAATCTCCTGGAAACACCGAACACAGAAAGTCATCAAGTGACACCGATGATCGACAGCATGACTCTAACACCAACATCATGCCTTTAATAACTCATGTGTTTGCTTTGGGCGTTACAGCTTTGCATTTAGTGATGGACTGCATGATAACAGCGTCCACACAAAGACTATCAGTCAGCATATCAGTTCAATAAGACAGTCTATGCCATCTTAGCCTTCAGTGTTTGGTTTAATAAGCTGCACACTTAATGGCTTTTAGAACTAGAGCTGATCTTAATGGTTAATGGAAGAAACCATGACACTGGTGTTGATGAAGATCGAACAATATTGCAGATATTTAAAACACTATTCAATATGAAGGAGCAGGAATAGAAGTAAAGCTTTCTCCTGTCAGGCTCATTCTTCCCTCTACAGACGACAGAATCATTTAACATACCTGCATGTCCCGTCTCATTGGATAAGCCCAGTCCTGTTGAAAGGGAGATTGATATGCATCGTGAGAACTGCGGTCATTTTTTGTTTTGTTTTTTTGTATAAGTTGTCATGTTGATGTGAGAGTTAATACTGCAGGTTTTCAATCCACCGGACAGGGTGAGATATGTAAAGTTCTGTACATACGTGGCTAATTCTTGGAGACTTTCTATTTGGCACAGTTAACATTTAAGAGACGTCGGAAAAGACATGAGATATGTTGGATAGACAAAATTGTGCAACGTTTCCTAAAACAAATAACAGCGGGGCGCATATTTGAGCGGCCAGACAAACAAGGCTCTGGAGCCGGGGTTAGCTCAGGTTAGCCACACAGACACAGAAGCTAGCGCAGGCGGCTCTCTCTCTCTCTCTCTCTCTCTCTCTCACCAAAAGCTCCTCCTTGGTCGCGGGCAGAGACGGGAACTGAAGTTTGTTCTCCTCGTCCATCCTGCTGTCTCTTCGGGTACCACTGGTTCTGCGCGCGGTATCGATGGTTTTCGCGGCGGGGTTAACTGGACAATCGATGCAATTTGTTTTGAGGCTCCACATGTATGTCCGCCATGCTGTCCCCTGACAGATGTGTCACATGACCGCACGGCAGCCAGCGAACAGGGCTCTTTGAAAGTGGGGACGGTGCAACAGCGACGTCCCGCGGGCGATTTAGGAAGCGCACTTTGGATGAGATAAATCATTTTATGAAAGGTTTTCCATCCCTGCTGCGATATTAAAAATTAATCTCATTTCAAAACACAGAGCACACGACAAAGTCCATATTCTGTATTTTATCTGTAATCTAGTATAGCATGCTCACTGCACCTTAATCTGTATATGATAATCCTAAAAATATACTTATATTTATAGCATTTATTTATATTTATAGCATCCCATTAATCCAGCCACCCATATATACCCAATAATTCACATTTTTCGTCTACATCTGTACATTTTGTAATTACTTGTACACAGCACAGATTCTTTCTGCTTATTGCACTTCTGGTGAGATGCCAAACCTCATTTCGTTACTCTATACTTGTATATGTGTAATGACAATAAAGTTGAATCTCATCTCTCATCTCAAAATGCATTTTGAACATTCATCTGCTTTGTCCAAATGAGACTGGATCAGTTTTCAAATAGCACAAATACATTGTTGTACTCCAATAATAGGATATGATAGGATAATACTTTATTGATCCCCAGAGGGGAAATTCGGGCGTTGCAGCAGCACAGACATGTAAGCTCGAAATACACATTAAACAGAATAGATAAGATAAATAAAAATATAAATAAGGGGTATATACAAGTACAAAATGAATGATGAAGTTAACTATGCATGGAATTGAGACAGTATTTGCAGAGAATTACAAGATAAAGTGACAAGTGATGATTAAAGTGACTTGTTATGATAAATAGCAGCGAGTAATGTAAAACAGCAGAGAAGAGAGGCAGTACACAGTACTGCAGAGATAATGTAGACTACTCTACTCTTAATTTGTAACATAAACCTCTTCATTCATTTGGCTTACCTGTTGGCCAATGTTATTTATTTTGCTTTTGAGTTCCAGCTTTAGACAGAATTCACTTTACTGGTGAATATGGCGGAGAGACAAAGTGACTGAATTCAGACACGACCCATTCTTCTGCAAAATAAACAAATACATAGATGAATTATTTTTGTTTTCACATCAGGCTTCTACAACAGCTTCTACAAAAGTGTGATTTTCTTGACTTGTCAAATTATCTTCTATTTTATCTTCTAGGGCTTTATAATTTTTTGATGTCTGATTTTTATGAGTCTGCACTAAACCAACCTAACCTACTCTTTGTTATCAGCAGAGTATTGCTTGGCCATAAACTCAGTTTTCTTTTTTATTTTCTAGAAATGAAGCAGAACCGAATGAGCTTCTGTTATCTACCATCCTTTAAGACATATCCTACCATATTTTTCTATTATGAGGGATCAATAGGAACATGTGACAGAAGAAAATGACTGGTATGTGTGCAGGTATGAATATGTCAGTGTTCATCTCGGCTCAAACGACTGCTTAGAAGCTATCCTCCAAACAACAGTGTTGTAACCAGAGATAGTCAATTCACATCAGGGGGTGACCGCAGAGCCTGATATCATCTAAATGCAGATTGCATTCATTATAAACCCACACACTTTTACCATCATCATCATTATCCCTGTCTCCTTCCTCAAATCTCTGAACAGCCCTTCAATCTTGTATAGTTGCTGCCCTCATCCCTCTCTGCCAGCCATCCCTGCGTTATAATCACTTCAACAATGACTGATAATGAAAGAAAAAATATCACTGATCAAAAACAGAGAGCATGAATTTGTAGATGCTTGTTTGGGCTCTCAGACGCATCATCTGTTTGTTGTTGTGTGACAGTGTAGCATTTGTGATTTGTATTTACCGCCTGGCCCGTGGGAGTGGACGCCACTTTTTTCCAAGATCAGAGAGAGAGATGTAATCTCACAGCAAAACAGTTCCAGTCGGTAAATGCCTTTATGTGTGTGATGTTTTTCTATCAGTGCATATGTAATCGTGACTGAGAAACATCACATAACTTTTCAGAACTACTGGTCAGCTTGAAAGGTGTCCCTATGGTTATTTTTTATCACTGACTGAGGCAGATACATCCCCTACTGCTGCTCTTCAAAAATCACTCACACCATCAAAGAGTAAGTCTTTGAAGACTGGCGATTACATGCACTTACTTTTATCTTCTGTCACCTTTATTTTCTCCATCTTGACTGTGTGCCTAAGAAAATATCAGAACATTGTTTACTCCCTGTGAGATGCTTTCCCTGTAGTGTCCACATCCTTGGGACAACAGCTCTTTGATATTCTGTTGTCTCGGGCAGAATCAGATATTAGCAGCCATGCCAGATTCCTTTGGCGGGGGGGGGGGGGTGAAGATAATTGTCATTCGAGGAGTTTTTGGAGTGACATAAAAAGAGTGGAATGAAGAAGCAAGATATTATTATTATTATGTTACACATATTTTGCATAGTTAGTGAGAAACAAATGGGAAACTTACCACTAAGTAGGCACTTAGTAATGGGTAGATAGTGAGTACTTCCTCATCACATGTTTTAGAGTAGCAAATGATTAGTTAGTGGGGAAAGAATGGGAAACTAACTACTTGGTAACCACGAGGTAAGCCCTGGGTAACCACTAAGTAACCACTAGTATCCACTAAGTAATCACTAAGTAAACACTAAGTAACCACTAAGTAATCACTAAGTAATCACTAAGTAACCACTAAGTAACCACCAAGTAAACACTAAGTAACCACTAAGTAACCGCTAAGTAATCACTAAGTAATCGCTAAGTAACCGCTAAGTAACCGCTAAGTAACCACTAGGTAATCACTAAGTAACCACTAGGTAACCACTAAGTAGTCACTAAGTAACCACTAAGCAACCACTAAGCAATCACTAAGTAACCACTTAGTAACCACTCAGTAACCACTAAGTAACCACTAGCTAACCACTAAGTAACCACTAAGTAACCACTAGGTAACCACTAGTAACCATTAAGTAACCACTAGTAACCACTAAGTAACCACTAGTAACCACTAAGTAACCACTAGGTAACCACTAAGTCACCACTAAGTAACCAATAGGTAATCACTAGCTAACCACTAAGTAACCGCTAAGTAACCACTAGGTAACCACTAAGTAACCACTAAGTAACCGCTAAGTAATCACTAAGTAACCACTAAGTAACCGCTAAGTAACCACTAGGTAATCACTAAGTAACCACTAGGTAACCACTAAGTAGTCACTAAGTAACCACTAAGCAACCACTAAGTAACCACTAAGTAACCACTAGGTAACTACTAAGTAACCACTAGTAACCATTAAGTAACCAGTAAGTAACCACTAGGTAACTACTAAGTAACCACTAAGTAACCACTAAGTAACCACTAAGTTACCACTAAGTAATCACTAAGTAAACACTAAGTAACCACTAAGTAATCACTAAGTAATCACTAAGTAACCACTAAGTAACCACCAAGTAAACACTAAGTAACCACTAAGTAACCGCTAAGTAATCGCTAAGTAATCGCTAAGTAACCGCTAAGTAACCGCTAAGTAACCGCTAAGTAACCACTAGGTAATCACTAAGTAACCACTAGGTAACCACTAAGTAGTCACTAAGTAACCACTAAGCAACCACTAAGCAATCACTAAGTAACCACTTAGTAACCACTCAGTAACCACTAAGTAACCACTAGGTAACCACTAGTAACCATTAAGTAACCACTAGTAACCACTAAGTAACCACTAGTAACCACTAAGTAACCACTAGGTAACCACTAAGTCACCACTAAGTAACCAATAGGTAATCACTAGCTAACCACTAAGTAACCGCTAAGTAACCACTAGGTAACCACTAAGTAACCACTAAGTAATCACTAAGTAACCGCTGAGTAACCGCTAGGTAACCGCTAAGTAACCGCTAAGTAACCACTAGGTAACCACTAAGTAACCACTAAGTAACCACTAAGTAATCACTAAGTAACCACTAAGTAACCACTAAGTAACCACTGAGTAACCACTGAGTAACCGCTAGGTAACCGCTAAGTAACCGCTAAGTAACCGCTAAGTAATCACTAAGTAACCGCTAAGTAATCACTAAGTAATCACTAAGAAACCACTAAGTCATCACTAAGTAACCACTAAGTCATCACTAAGTAACCACTAAGTAACCGCTAAGTAATCACTAAGTAACCGCTAAGTAATCACTAAGTAATCACTAAGTAACCACTAAGTCATCACTAAGTAACCACTAAGTAATCACTAAGTAATCACTAAGAAACCACTAGGTAACCACTAAGTAATCACTAAGTAATCACTGAGTAACCACTAAGTAACCACTAAGTAATCACTAAGTAACCACTAAGTAACCACTAAGTAATCACTAAGTAATCACTAAGTAACCACTAAGTCATCACTAAGTAATCACTAAGTAATCACTAAGTAACCACTAAGTTACCACTAAGTAATCACTAAGTAATCACTAAGTAACCACTAAGTAATCACTAAGTAATCACTAAGTAACCACTAAGTAATCACTAAGTAACCACGAGAAAATCACATGTGCAGTACAGTAAATAAGCCAAGCAGAAGAAGTTTCATAGAGAAAAAAATATTTAAACATGTGATCCAAAGGGTGGGGACTCTGAGACTGAAGGCCCTGTCTTCATAGGTGCCAAGTCGGGTGTGAGGTGTGGACATGGCAAGTGTCTGAGGACCGGAGGTTTTGGGACATGGTGTGTGGGTGTAGGTGTGTTTTTAACAACTTTTGTTGCCATTCTCCTATCGTCATTGTGTCTGCAACTTTGTAATTTTGCTGCTGCCTGTCTTGGCCATGCAGGTCTCCCTGGGAATAGAGGTACTTAATCTCATTGGGACCTACCTGGTTGAATATTGAAACCCATCTTGACAAGGTCTAAAAAAGTAAATACAAATGTAGTAGATATGTTTAAGATGAACCACTACCATGCTCATTTTATAGAGAGACATGTCTCAGTGGAGCATTGTGAATCAGTTTTTGGACAGCTATGCACCTTTGTGACATGGAGAA